GAGAGAGAGAGAGAGAGAGAGAGAGAGAGAGAGAGAGAGAGAGGATCCCAAACACACTCTTCCCCCCCACCCACAGAGAGAGAGAGACAGAGACAGAGACAGAGACAGAGTCAGTCAGTCAGTCAGGGTACAGCAGTGGCTCAAAGCTCTCCACTAAGGATTTCACGGGTTTTAGGTGTTCTGGTTTGGTTTGGTCCATATTGGAAAACAGAGACTGGACAGATTCACTGGGGAAATTACCAGCATTGTTTCTCTCCAGCTCACACTCAGACTTTAGGAGGGAATGTGGTTGAGTTGGTTGTGCTGCACATCTATGGATGGTTGTGTGGTAAAGTAGGGCCCGGCCTCCTACTCTAAGGAGAGGTCAGCTCTCCTTGAATTACTGCCCATCCCAGGCTGGACCAAGCTTGTTATGGTGGAGGTGATGTTTTATTGTGTTATGGATGAAATCCTTTCACTCCTAAATACAACACTAAGTGTCCCTCAGCACCACATCTCTTAGAATCCTGACAAAAAAACCTTTTCCATATATCTCAAAGGGGGTTGTTTTGTTTTTAACAGGTGTGTGTGTGTCATAGCATGTATGTCAAAATCAGGAGAGCTTGTAGAAATTTTATTTCCATACTGGGTTTCAGGGTTTGAACTCAGGTCATAAGTTTAGTGGAAAGCATTTTTACCAACTGAGCCATCTTATGACCTCTTTTCTCTCCCCACCTCCACCAAAATAGGGTCTCATACAACCCCAGCTAGCCTCAAACTACATAGTGATGTAGTTTGCCCCCACCTCTTGAGTGCTTAGATTACAGCTGTGCATCCCACACCCAGTTTATGCATTGTTAGGGATTGAACCCAGGGCTTTCAGCATGCTAGGCAAATATTCAATCAACTGAGGTACATTCTCCAAAACTGGAATTATTTTGTAATGATAGTATTAGTAAATCCTTGTGATAAATGACTCTAGAAAATTCTAGAATCTTTGGCAGCTTTTATCATTGTTTCCTCCAAAAGAACTCTGGTTCAGAGAATCCCATAAAATTCTGATTACCTCTTTTGCCATGGCTACTATGGAACCCATCCCAGAGGTCCATCAACTGGAAAAGATACTCTGCCCCTCACAGATCACTGACAGCTGTACCTGGAGGTACACAGCATGGCCTGGTCAGTTCCTGGACAGTGGTGGGGCTCACTTCTCTCCCCAGGGTATAGGAACTTTGAAGAACCTGCCTTCAATCCCCCGGTCAGTTGTACCTTCAGTGAGGTTTCCCCAGTCATTGCAGAGCTCAAGGGCCTAAACAGAGGTCTCTGTGCTTGGTTGTCATGGCACTCAAAGTCCTCCTTGGCAAAGGGCAAAGTGCTGGCTAGGGACCTTCTCCTTGCCAAAGAGCTCCTACCTGGGAGCTGGAGATGAGGCACAGTTAGTAGAATTCCTGCCTAGCGTACATGTGGCCCTGGGTTCCAGCACCTCATAAAGCACTTGGGAGTTAGAGACAGAGTCAGGAGTTCTCATCCCCTCTAGTCCTTAGTGACTCATACACCAACCTCTGATGAGGAGAGGCCCACATTCCAACTGGATGTGGCCTTCGTATCCTCTGATAATCTCAATGTTGAGGCACAAAAGGAAACTTAATGTCATTTTCAAATACCAGTATTGCTCCATGGTGACCTCTGTGTGAGGGGAGTGGGGTGCACAGGCCTGAGGTCAACTTTGGATGTCATTCCCTTGGAACTGTCAATCTTGTTTATCAGGCAGGGTCTCTCAGCAGTATCTGGGGCTCACCAACCGGGCTGGTCTAGCTGGCCGGAGACCCCAGCTTCTCATTGCTAGGGTTACAATATGTACCATGGCACTCAGCTTTTTTTTTACACAGGTCCTCAGGGTTAATAAAGCACACACACTAGATAGTATCTGCTAACCTTATGTAATATTTCCTTTTCAATTCTTGAAACTAACTTCTGCAGTTGCTTGACAGCCCCTAGAGAAGGAGAGAGTTGAGAGATAGCTCTGAAGGGAAGGAAGAGACCCTCCCATGGTGACAGAAATTGTGGCATCCCAGAGGGCTTGTGTAAAAGCTGCCTGTGCCCTCAGCTTGGGAACTTGTTGGTACAGGAGCCTTTCATGACTGTAGCTAACAAGGTGTTCGTTCTGCCTGCACCTTTTACGCTAGCTTCTGGAGAATCTTGTCAAAGTGTACAAGTGAAGTGACGGCCCCTTTTTTCCATAGATTAGGCACAAAACACTCAGCTTTTTCCCAGCACACTGGGTGGTCAGGAAGAGTGGCTTCCAAGACATGTCTGCCCACGAAGAGTCATGCAGCTCCATGGCGCCATTGTCCATCAACAGAGTGTCAGCTGTCCCTTAGAGGGCACAGCTGCTGCAGGCTGGCTCTGGCATGGCAAGTCCAGCTTACTGCACCCTGCTGAGACATCCACAGCTATGTAGGTGAGGCCTGCAGCTATTCCTCAGAGTATGGTAGCCCACATACCTTTATGGTGTGCATCCTGATGCCTGAGCTGCTCAGAAGCCCTGTTGGCTTCTTGCCTCTAGCCCGACAGCAGGGTTCTGCTACACTCTGTCCTTGACTAAACAGCCAGTTCTTGCCATTTGGCAGGCATGAAAGAGGTGACAGAGAGGGTTGATGGCAGCCTCAGAAAATACCATGGGACTGAATAGAGTGGCAGAACTCTTCGTGAATGCGCTAGACTCGAGTCACATTTCCCTTCTCTTTGCTCTACGAATGTCAGGAGAGCAACTGGTTCTCTCCAGACAGAATGATGCTGGCTGCAGTCCTGTAACTGAGGCTTGTGTATAACCATCTACAACTAGCCTCATGTAGCAGATCAGACAGAAAAGAAAAACTCAGGGGCCATGAGATAGCTCAGTCAGGTAAAGACCTTTCCATGCAAACACAAGGATCACATTGCAATCCCCAGAACTCATGTGCAAAAGTCAGGTGTGGTACATGCTTGTAAATCCCAGTGCTGGGGAGGCAGACAGGAGAGTCCCTGAGTTTCAGGTCAGTGAGGGATTCTGTCTCAAAACAAAACAAAAAACAGGTGAGGAGCAGTGCCCATGGCTGTCCTCTGGCTCTGTACACACGTGTGCACTTCATACACATGTTCACACATGTGACATACCCACCCACAAAGAAAAAGACCTGAAATTTCATGAATTGTCTGAAAAGATTCTACATATGGCCAATGCCTCTCGAACTGAAATGTTAGCCTGTCATGACCATCAACATGGTGGCCCATTCAATTCTCCTTTTTGCTGGCAGCCTGACCTGGGTCATTTTTAATTTATTAGATGTAGCATATTATAGGGATTCTCCATTCTGGGGCCAAAGTGAGAATTTCCAGATTTGGGCTGTTGTGTGGCTCATATAGGCAAAGGGTTTTCATGAGGTCCCTAGAGCTGCAACTGGGCCATGAAAGGTGGTAGAATCAGACAATCCACATGTTTCAGGTAGGGAACAAACCTGAACACATGAGAAGCCACTAACTAGTTCAGAAGCTTTCTTCTTAGACAACAGGAGGAAAGTAGATGATGGAAGCATGTCGTCTTCTCTTCCTGTAGAGCACTGCTGCTGTTGCCCCTTTAACATTCAAGGAGCATGTGTCACTGAAACACACCACCCATTGAGGTGTTCATAAGTTTCCTTATTTGTATATGTGTGTTGTATTAGGGACTGAGCCACGCCCCCAGACCCTCACTGGGGGATCCTAATCAGGAGCTCTACCATTGAGTCACACCTCCAGCCCCTCACTGGGGAACTAATCAGGAGTTC